TTTTTCTTGATCTGTCAAGAATTTTATAATGTATTTTATAATCTAACTTCCCCCAGTTTCTATATTATAAATAAAACTAATTCAATATAATTTAAACCATAAATATTTTATCTGTATACAGTTACATAATTGAAACCATTTGGGAATTTCGTACACATTTAGATNTTCTTTATATTAATTATTAAAAGCTGTTATTTGTTTACTATACAGTTACAATTTGAAAATCAGACTATGTGAATATTAAGAATTCCAGAGTTGCTAGGCAACTGAATTCTAACTAGCACTTTGATATAGTTTTTTTTTTTTTTAAAGATGTCCTATTAATTAATTACAAAAATTACAACAAAATTACTGAAGAATTGGCACTAGTTATGGAGAAAAATGTTAAAATATGAAAATAATTGAGAGAGTGGAAATGTCCTGAACCCCACTAAATTTGTTAATATTTGGTATTTTTCTTTCCATAAAAATGAAAAAAAATTAATAATAATGAAAATAAAACCTTTTCTCAGAAACATGACAAAGGAAAACTAGAGAATGTAAGATCTAAGATCAACTATCTTCAGTAGGGATTGAATTAAATCAGTAGGGTCGATTTTGACTCATCCAGTGATCTAAGTTGAGATCTTGTTACACTTAATTTCTAAGTGATTGTTTACTGGTTAGTAAACAATCACTTAGAAAGTGAGGACAAGGAAAAAGGCAAATTGAAATGGGTGATCAAGGACAGAAAATAATAAAAACCTTGAATTTCAAGGACAAGAGAACTTCTCTCCCTGATTTCTCATCATGCCAGACCTTACTTGGTTGCATTCTCAACTTCACCTTCGACTCTCTCTGGATTGACATCACCACCTCTTCAGACTGTCAACAACATTGCTCCAGAATCACCAAAACAACAGAAGGACTCTTTCTTCTCAGGAAAAACAAGATTCAACAGACTTATTCATCATCTGCAGAGAACACCAACAGCACTAATTTCTATAAGTCTTTTTAGTAAATAAATTGAAACAATTTTTTTTTGTAAACATTGTCTGGGTTTGTCACACTCACATATGAATCTGCACCTCTTCCATACTGACTTGAGAGCATAATTCAGCAATCTCACATAATAATTAACATATTTGGTTTTTTTATTGTCCAAATTCATTTATTTGTTTTTCTTAATACTTAACAGAATTTTCTCTTCTATCACATTTCTACAATTCTCAACTCTTCAGTTAATCTAATAAAATTTCTTGGAAAAGTTGAATACACTGTCACTGCCATATTTCAGTTTATTATAATTTATTCAATGCATAATCAGTAAATTGTCATGAGTCTTCCTCTCATACTTCCTCCTATGCTTAGTAATCCTATCTTACATAGTTCTTTAAAGGTATAACCAATATATTTATATATGGCCTTTTCAATAATATTTACTGCTTTTAATTTATGTGCATATGCATTATATTCTTAACTTCTAAAAAATGTAATATATTAACTAATCTATTTAAAAGTATAGTTCACAGTAGCTCAAAAATCATTTAATACATTTTTAAATTATTTTAAGAATGGCTAAAACCAGTTCAGAATGATCTGGTTTCAGCCCATCCGATATTTTCAATGTAATAAAGTTATTAAATAATCATTAAAGTTTGTGGTTAATTTTTATTACTAGTTTCATTCATAGTAGCCTTTTTTAAAATATAGTAAATAGTGAATTAGTTAAAATAATCAGGATCCAGGTTTACCATAACAGAAACCTAAAGTATAATTTTATTATTTTGTACTTTTTGTATTGTAAATTTCTGAAAGATAACTGTCAATTTATTTATTTAATAATTTTTCATTTTTAAAAACATATACAATAAAACCTTGCTTTGTGGTACAGTAAAATTTAATATAAATCAAACTCAAGTGGTGTCAAAAACAGGAATGTCATTTAATCTCATTTAAGTGGCCAACAGAATAGGAAAGCCCAGGATTTCTAAACTCAGTATATTGTTTAAATTACTTTAAACAGAACTGAGCTTTGTTACTATAGTTTTGGAACGGTTTCCTCCACACAGATGATATTCATATAAAATAAATAATTTGCTCAGTGTAAAATAAAGATTCTTCTCTAGAATTTAGTAAGAAATAGAATTATATATTTGTTCAATAATTTTATACAAAATCTGATCATTTTGTAAAAATATAACTATGTAAATCATCAATGATTGGTCTAGGTCAGGGGTCGGCAACCTTTTGAGTCCGAAGAGCCAAAATTACAATTTACAAAATTTCAAAGTTTTTAAAGAGCCACAAAATTTTTTCTTGCCAACAATAAATAGTACTCGCATAAATAAAGTTTTTTGATAAAAAAAACTAATCTATTTATTCATAAGAAAAAATATCTATTTATTCATATATAAGTAGTTTTTCACAACAAATTAGATAATAGAAACATCCGACGACAGCGTGTCACGGGGAGGGGTGCGGTGAAAAGCGAGCACAAATGGCTGAGAGATAGAATCAGTGCCTAATCCTCGTTAATCGATTCAGAACGATTTTTAAATGTTTTTTTTTTTTTTTTTTGATAAAATAAATAATATTTGCGTATGGAACTAAAGAGCCGCAGCTTCACATCCAAAGAGCCGCATGTGGCTCCCGAGCCGCAGGTTGCCGACCCCTGGTCTAGGTCATTGATACATCACTTACAGCACTCAATGAAAAAAAATATTGACAAACCTGATGTAAAAGCTACTTTAATTATTAACACTTTTTCAAGACACTTCTGCATACTTAGTGACTTCTATTTTAAATATATCCTAATGACTTCTGTTTAATTTTTTCTGAATTCTCTTGTTAAAATACATTGTTTAATAAAACCTTTACCATCATTTCATGAACATATTGATTCCATTTACTTAATTTTGCTTACTTACGTATTGCAGTGCTTGATGAATCATACTACAAACAGCTTGCATTTATTTTATGTGTAATCTATTTCAATATACTATTATTCAATGTTAATACACAAATGTTTAACCCACTGTACAAAAGTTTGAATTACTAAATATTACAAAACGGTGTTATATAATTTATTTTATTTTTTGTTTACTTTTATAATTTATATTAAACTTTTAGTATGATTCAGTATGGTATTCTAATTACAGTTGTTCTGTATATGTCATTTTTTTGTGACCCCACTTATATGACCAGAAATTGTATACCCCAAAGGTGGCCACATGGTTTTACTGTGTATATTTTAATTGTAAAAGTGCTTATTATAGCTAGACACAAATCAAATTTAAAAAAAAATTTTGCTAATTTAATATTAAATTTTTAGATGATGTATTTAATTTTTTATAACAATTAATTAACAAAACACTTAGCTGTAACCAAAATGTTTATGACGACTTTTTTTTGGTCAAAAATGTATAATTTATGAATCCTGCATATGAAAATAAAACTAATTTTAAATCTTTTAATACATTTAATTTACTCATTTATTTACAATCAATTTCCTGTTTTTCTGCTTCTAATGCCAAACTACCAAAATAAAATTTTGGTAGCTGCAAACCAAATTGACAACTACAGTCAAACCAAGAACCAAGCAAATTGACAAATTTGGTTTGACTACAATAAACTCTATAAAAACTATCTACAGATAATTTGTAATATTAGACATATTCCATTTTTAATAAAAGTATCATCAGATAAAAATGTACTTGTTTCAAGATAGAAAATGTAACCTTATATCTAACACACACATACATACATATATACAGTAAGACCCTGCTTAACGCTGATTCAATATAACGCAGTCTGCTTGATGCCAAAAAAAATGCTCAAAATTTACACTGATTCAAATTAATGCGGTATTTCATTAATTCATATATAATATGATTATTCCCAAACACAAACCAATCAGCAAAAGGTGGTAATTCATCGTAGCGCTGTACTTTCCTTAAATCTATGTTTGTTTTGTGCAATTTTGGAAAAAATATAACATCATGGATGCCATAGGAGATAGCAACTTGGCTTGGCAAGAATTAACTGATAAATGCATGAATGGAGTGTAGAAGAAGTTATGGCTAAAGGTATCCAAGAATTCTCAACAAGAAGAGCCTATCACTGCATCATTATGTTGACCAAATTGTAAACTTAATTGACACAGGAGATGTAATGTAGACGAGCAGGATATTGGGGAGTTAGTGCAGGTTTCTGGTAAGAGCCTTACCAACGATGACTTCAAGAACTGCCAGAAGAAAGAATTCATGTAGAACATGAAAATAGAGATTCTGAAAATGAAGAACCCAAAGAACTTGCTACAGATTTCTTTAGTAAAAGTCTGGTAACGATAACCGAAATTGTTGATCAAATTGTAGCAAATGATCTAGATTTTGAAAGGAGTGCAAAAGCAAAACGAGGCGTTTTGGATGCGACATTTGCTTAAGGAGAGAAAAAAGCGACAAATGAAACTTCACAACTTTATTGCAAAAAAACAAAATTTTCAGAAAAGTCAGTACCTTCGTCATAAAAAATGAACTAATTAATATATTATTATACGTTTCTGTGTGCATATGTTTATGTATTATTTAACATATTATTATTATACAAATTAATATAAAATAATTTAAAATTAAAGTAAATTTTTTAAAATTTTCAATTGCATGTTTCCCTATCCCTATTTACTCTATGTTGAAATGGTCTTGTTTAACGCTGTTTCGCTTAGCGCTTTGTTGTCTAGGAACGCATCCCCTGCGTTAAGCAGGGTCTTACTGTATATGTATATATATATTAGATATATTATATAATTTTTTATTTTAATTATTTACTGTAATAAATATATAATTTATGTAATTATTACAATAAAACAACATACAATGTCAATTTCAAATTATACAATTAAAAATCGCCATTTTAATATCTAATGTTTAAAATTTTTTTTCTGAAATTAATTGTTTAAAATTTAACTGTCAAGTTTAATAAAATTATTATTAAATATAAAATATTACAATTAGAAATAAGGCTGTAATTGTGATAATTGTTTTTATTGTTTGAACTAAAAAATTCACAGAATAAATTCTAAACAGGCACACAAATTTTCCAATATTCCAATTTATTTCAATAATGAAATGGAAAAATATAGTTACTGAAAAGCTTACAAAAATTACTCAACAATGAATTCTCAAAAATAATTATAAATAAAATGAATAATTCTTTTGGATGCCATTTTATTAACTAGCTTCATTTTAATGAAGTATAAAAGTCTTCCAAACAGAAGTTTATGCGAAATGTAAAACAAAATCAGGTTTCAACATTTGAACAGTACAAATTCTTGTTGAATTTCACTTTCTATATTTGATATCAGATTTTGTTTTTATATAAGTAATATGATTTTTGCTTGCTGAGCTGATGAAAATGTTTATATGAAAAATTTGCTCCCCCCTTTGAATATTTACATTTTTTTACATATTTAGTCAGGCGAATGGTGAATGCTATATCGTCCTGTTTGAAAGTCACTAATACATAACCTTAAACAAACTCCATCTTGTTTTTGCAAAACAACTTCACTGGTATTCATCGATATTAGTTGAACCCTAAGATTTTTAATGTTATAAATAAATAAAATTATTTTTTAAATTTAAAAATATAATTAAAGTATATATATAATTTAAAAAATAATTACATAATAGTTTCTGTTTTGTTTTCTAATATAACTGGTTCGCCTTTGTGAAACCATTCTCCTTTGAACAACAATTTTCCATCAGTAAATCTGGCATTGAAACGCTGCTCCACAGGAGCAAATTCATCTGAAAGTTAACATACTTCATAAAATGTTTATCTCTTTATTTATTTAATAAAACTCATCTACTTACAATCACTTTTCTGTTTTGCTGCCTTTAATGCCTATTTAAAAAATAAATAATTGTTCTTTAATAGATGTACAGTACATTCAATTCCTTTTATAAAAGAAATATAATTTACCTTTCTAATTGTTGTCCAATCTTCTAAAATTTCATTTTCATGCAAGAGATATACAATATATGGCCGTACTTAAATTAAGATTAACAACATAATATCTTTATTTATTTATTTATCAATTTAAAATATAAATATATTGTCTTTTCTATTTTGATAATTATTTAACAACTTTTAGACATTGAATTCTACAATCATAGTCATCATTTTTTATGCACTGTATGTATCATATAAGATGATTCCCTCTAGAGCAGTGTTTCTGAACGGGGGCAATATCGCCCCCATGTGGGTGTTTTTCCATGTTGAGGGGGCGATTAGTAATAATTTATATTTTGGGGGGCAAAAAACAATATTCTGGGCGATGTAGTAAAACATTATATTAAGAATAATTAGATATTTTATTCATTATATCGTACAATAATTAAACAAATAACATTATACTAGTTACTAGTATAATGTTATTATAACATTATACTAGTTACTAGTCTATTCAATGTATACAAATTTCGCGTTAGCCTTGTCCCTCGGCATCGGAATTTCGTAGTGAAAGGGGCGATACTATGTAATGGTTTTATTGAAGAGGGTGACAATTCATTAGAGGTTGAGAAACACTGCTCTAGAGTGAACACTTACTTTGTCCAATAAAACTGTAAAACTGATCAACTGCTTCAACATGAAATGAAGAAACCTTCTGTTCATATTATACCAGACATATTATGACTTATTAAATTATTATTATAAATAAATTCGAGGAATCTCCCCCTCAGATTCTGCAATCTGTTGAACCAGGCTGGAGAGCGGGCATTACTGTCCATACCAATGATGAAAGGTAAATGAAAAAAGTGTATTAATTTTGAAAGTTCCAAAAGCTCCACCTCTATATTATCAGAGGGTGCTAGGCAAGTTGAATTTATCAGAAATTTTAAGTCTATACCAGCACAGTTGTTGAGAAGTCGTTCAACAGATGGAGAACCAAGGAGATTGATATTCCTCGATTAAAATTAATTATAGCTGATTTCACTCCTATGTATAAGCAATCAAATAAACCAGAAAATCCAAGAACTTTGTGCGTAGCCCAAGGCTCCTGAATTAATGCCACGTCGATCCCGTGATCCAGCGCATGCTTAATAAAATGGCCAGTAACGGTGGCCGACCAATCTAAGTTAATTTGAATTGTGTTTATTCCCATTACTGCCTAGTATTAGCCCTGCTAACCTCACAGTGAAATTTATAAATTGGGCAGTTTCTATCATGAGCACTGTGGTGGACATCAACACATTCGTCCATGCTTTTTCTAGATTTATTATACCTAATGCAATTTATGCATTTGAAGTGGCCCCGTTCCACTTGGCACTCAGCAGATGAGTGATGTAGAGAGCACTCAGGACAGTGCCTCTCGGATTTGCACTGCCCCTGCAAATGTTTCTATCCCACGCATTTATTGCAGCACCTACAGTAGAGCATCAATTATTTGACTGTTCTAGTCGGCAAATTTTAAATGTCCGCTAGTGATGCAGTGCTACAATATTTGGCTATGTCTTGGCTACTTTAATATTATTTTTGTTAAATTTTTGCGTGGTTTAGCTGGCAACACTAGCTCAAACATGAAAGGGAGGCCAGTATTTAAACAAGACTTAATTTTCTAATTATGAGTGGTTGTTTGTTTTGTGAGCAATAAAATAATTTAAAAATAATTTTTAACGATACAATAGCGATGATTATTATTTTTAAAAAAAATTTTGTTAGGCTTAACATCGATGAAAATTTAATGCAAAGTAAGTTAACGATATACTAATATACTAATTACATGGGATATACTAATATACTATACTAATAATGTATTTTTTTAATTTTTTCAGTTATCCAATTTTTTCAGTTATCTGACCAATCTGAGTCCCCAATTGAGTCAGATAATTGATGCTCTACTGTATAATAAAAATTGTGGACCTTTCGTGAGGACCACCCCATGTACAAAACATCCCCAGACATTTTAATTAGTTTCCTTAACTCAGGGGTAAGAGTAACAACCCAGGACCTCTCACCTCTTTCCTTATGTAGAAAATGTGCTTGATGTGCTGCCGCACATCATTGATTTGGTCAGAGAAATGACTGATAATAAACTCCTTGATATTTTGTTCATCTAGTTCCCATTTGACCCTTGGAGTAATTATTCTTGGGTCCCTCATACTGGGAGTCCTGACTCTGATATCCTCCCTCTTGTTGAGGGAGTCAAAAAGCCTCTTTGCACCCTCTTCATTAGAGCAGTGAACGAGAACCCCATCTTTGATTGGACGGGAGAGTTTAACTCCCACTTTAAGTTGAGTCAAATTGACACTTTCTTTCAAATTTTTTTGGATCTCAAGGCCACTTTTACCCTCATCTTTATTATATATAATCACCACCTTGTTAGGTCGAGAGGATCTCATTTTGAGAACAGAGGCATATGATTTCTTTGCCTATTTTGTGGGGACAATTAGACTTTGAGTCCCCTGATTAGGTACTTGAGAGGTCTGTAATTCCTCTTTTAATTTGATGTAATTATTATGAAGACATCAAACATGTCCTGAGCTTTACTCAGATTTATTTTTAGGCAATCTTTAATTTCTGTTTTTAAATTACAGCTAACATCCATTGCATCTAGTGCAGCCTGGATTACTTCATTGAACAACTCTTTGTTTGGGATGAAACTTGCCATTATTCTAACTTTACTACAATTTAAACAAGATAACCCTGATACTACTACTGTCCAGATTAAATTTCGATTAATTTTATACTAATTCTATATAAATGTTATACTTTATAATAACTTATTCTATATTGTTGATAGCTGTGACACCCAAAAGACAACTTTTAAACAGAAACTCACCAGTGATGAAAGGAACAACCTATCAGCACAAGACCAACAGTGATGAAAGGAACAACCTATTTACTATAAAGGAAATTGCTTTTAGCCCTTGATTTAAACAAATTGATTAAAAACCTACTACTGTGAGGTAGGAATAAGGACTTATCACACCAGTGATAATAAGCACAAACACTCAAAATATCAATGGGATACATTTAATAAAACGAGAATGGGTGTACATTACAAACTATTAAATTAATAATTGACATAAAATAACCAAAATGCATTTCGGACTATCGGAATAGTCCCTCTTCAGTTGGTATACATATGTAAAAAAAGGTGAGATACTTAGAATTATACAAGACAAAGAAACCGTTATAAAAGTATGATTATTGAGTAATAATTGGGTGTAGAGGAACAGGCTTAAGGTGGCTTCATTATGTTAAATGGTAGCTTGACATGAGGGATACTATTATAAACAGTATTAAAAATTAGTGAGATATGATGATTGTTTTACAAAATAAGTTAAATCTACATACCATAACAGTAGTAAGCTGGAGTTTGAAGGTGGTATATAATATTGGTGGTGTTTATAATAGTATCCCTCATGTCAAGCTACCATTTAACATAATGAAGCCACCTTAAGCCTGTTCCTCTACACCCAATTATTACTCAATAATCATACTTTTATAACGGTTTCTTTGTCTTGTATAATTCTAAGTATCTCACCTTTTTTTATATATGTATACCAACTGAAGAGGGACTATTCCGATAGTCCGAAATGCATTTTGGTTATTTTATGTCAATTATTAATTTAATAGTTTGTAATGTACACCCATTCTCGTTTTATTAAATGTATCCCATTGATATTTTGAGTGTTTGTGCTTATTATCACTGATGTGATAAGTCCTTATTCCTACCTCACAGTAGTAGGTTTTTAATCAACCTATTTACTGTCATAACTAGTTTGTGTTTCATGCTCACCTTTTCATTTATACAGAGATATTTCATTTAAGTGTTCAATTCTAAGTGAATAATCCTTTATTACACACCTACATACATACAAGTAAATAAAAAAAACAATTTATTTTTTATTAGGAAAAAAGTGAACTAGGACGTCTTAATTTTAAAAGACATATCAAACCACTTGCTTTTAATAAAAATTTTCAATTATTTTTCAATTTAGTTTTGTTTCTGTGAACATTTCTTATGACAGTTTACAAGTTTCTTAATGCTATCTAAATATACATTTTTGACTTTTTGATAAGCCTCTTATCACTGCTTCTTTGGTATTTAAACCTACAATACAGATGTTTAATCTGCTAGCAACATCAATAGTAGTACTCTGTTATTAAGGTCATTTAACCAAGTTAAATTGATGACAGTTTCCTGGATGTCACTGTCTGTCTGCAATCATTTTCCATGCAAAAACGCCTTTAACTTAGAAAAAATAAAAATATGAAAATGCCAAGTCCAGAATGAGGGGCAAATAATCAATTATTTCCCATCTAAACTTTTGCAGTAATGTTTGCATTTTTCCACAGATGTGCACTTTAATGAAGTAGACTCTCCCTTAACACATTAACACCACAACAGTGGGCCATGGTCCTTTTTTTGAACAAAATAGCACAAAAAATTATGGCTATTTAATATAATTTATCTGCATTGTTAAACATTTTTTTTCTCTCAATTTTTAGGTATGTTAGAAAATTGCAACATGTGGCCTGAATGATATTTTTTTTGTTTTTACTGTCACAACTAGGTGCATAGACAGACACTAGGCATTTCTGACATCAACCTTTATTCAGGAATATCTTGTTGGCTGAAACCCATTTCGTGGCATAAGCACCTCTTCTGTCAGCATTTCTTGTAAGGAGGTGTTAACTGGTATACATCTTGCTTAAAATGACTTATTTACCTGATATTTTTTCTCTGATCACGTTATGCCATTTTGTATTTTTTATGTTCATCAGCTTTTAAATTCAACAAAATTATCACATTAAAGGTTGCATAAATAAACAGATGCATATCCAAGAGAAACAGAATAATTAATGAAATAATATAACTTTTTTTTTACTGTTTATATACACCAAGAGAACATGAAGTTTGTTTCTTGAATATTTTATATTTTAATGATATTGTAGAAAAAACATTAGAAAAGGCAAATTTTGCTCATTTTTCATATTTTATGGGAGAAAAAAATTCCTATTTGTATTCTATCATTAAAAAAATTTGCTGGATCAAGTGCAATTTCTATTCCCATAGGCTGTGCTTTGACTATTTCTGTTATGTTTACACGGCTAGTGTTTTGCTCCAAAATAACACAGCTCAATTTTCAATGTAGTGTATGTTGATTTCTGCAACATACAGCCTGGATGAATTACTGGGTGTGTTGCATATTTACAACACATAGTACTTAATATGTTAGTCACTTTATTCTATGATATGAGTGGATGGTTGCTTTATTATATAATATTTATAATGATATATTTTGATTCAGTTTTTATTTGTGTGTTATTAGGGGTTTCTTTTATTCAAATAATTAAAATAAAATTTAACCTCATTATGCATGTGCAAGTGAGATAAACTATACTCTGTTCATTTGGATGTGACATTTTTTATTTATAAGATTATTTTTCAATTTTCTTTAAAGGAAGTATGGAGAATTTTATAGTTTAAATAGAAATAATAAGAATAGCTATAGTAATTTTTATTCATATTAATCATTTTATTACAGATTATATATGCATTCAGTTATATTCTCAGTGTTTATGCATATTTTTATAGCAAATAAAATTAGCACAAAGCCAAGTATTTTTGTTATTTATACAAAAACAAAAAGTACTTAACTTATGCTATTTATTATTATATTTATACCAAAATCATTTCAATAGCTAATTTCAATTTATTCATTAATATTTATTTCATAGAATCATACAATTTATATCAAATAATTGTAGTTATATATTAATAGACTGAAAATAAATTTATCATTAAAATTAAACTTAAGTTCAAAATAAAATAAGAAAAAAGGATATCTGAAACAGTTACTGGTTTTTTTCTTTTATCTGGATTTAATGGATCTGTTCTCCTTTTATTTTTCTTAGGATTGACTTGTTCATTCCATAAATCTAAAAAACAGTAAATATTAAAAATAAATAAAGTTACTTTAAATCAATATTTTTAAAAATATATTTCTTGATTCAATTCTTAAAAATGTATACTTTTATTAAATTTCCAACGTTTATTTTACATTATAAAACCAAGAAATCATAGAATTTAATAATCTATTAATAATAAATTGATGTACAAAAGACTAAATATTACATAAATGAACAAGGTAATTATGAATAATGCTTTTTTATAAATAGCGTTAATAAAGAGTATATGAGAAAAACTCGAGTTTACTATAATGTCCACAATATTAAACAACATGGATTGGAAAGTTCATAACTCATCTTTTATTCACTGTAAGAACTCTAAGCTAGTTCAGACAGAAATAGGCTAGTCAAAACAGGATGTGGAAAAAAAAAAGTTTATTTCTACATCATGAATTTTATTCTCACTGTCATTTTGCAAAACAAGAATAATAAAATGGCACTCATACAAGAACCATAGAAATCATCATGAAGGAGGCTGATAACACATTGTTTTTTATGCTTACTTTATCCATTTATCAGAATAAAAGTTTCAATATTAATTATAATAATTGTAAGAATATAATAAATAAAAGTTTTTTCATAGCTGCCACGTTTAAATCTCATCTCCAGAAATTTGTCATTTCAATTAATGAGAAATATTTTTTACTAGTGGTAAAGTTCAACATGTTAAATTAGATCACAATTTTGCAAAACAGAAAAATTTGCGAAAAAAGATGTAACCTTCAATGCATAATCATTACTCTTTCAATTTTTTCCCCAGCAATTCACTCTTTAAATAAACTAAGTGTTAAATCATAAGTGTTATATATATAATACATGTTAAAATAAACTCTAAAAAAATTAAATAGAAAATAATTTTAATGTTTTGATTTAACACTTAGTTTATTTAAAGAGTGAATTGCTGGGGAAAAAATTGAAAGAGTAATGATTATGCATTGAAGGTTACATCTTTTTTCGCAAATTTTTCTGTTTTGCAAAATTGTGATCTAATTTAACATGTTGAACTTTACCACTAGTAAAAAATATTTCTCATTAATTGAAATGACAAATTTCTGGAGATGAGATTTAAACGTGGCAGCTATGAAAATATATAATATATATATATATTTTATTATTATTATTTGATATAGATAAAATAGAAATGAAACAATGTAATAACAAAGTTTTTGTCTTTCAGCAGTCAACTTGTTGAAGAAATGTGTACTTGATGGATTGGAATAGTCAGACCATCCAATAGTATATTAAAATTCTGTTTTGTTCCTCCAATTACTGTTTAGAAACATTACATAAAAATATATTTTATGTAACTTTTGAATTAGAACACCATAGTACTTATCAAATGACCAAAAGGTTTGGGCAGTTTTTGCATAAACTGCACTAACTGTTTTGGCTACTGAATTATATTTTAAATTACTTTTAATTTGAAATGTGGATTACATCTGTTTCCATTAGAGTTAAATGTTTAAAATCAGTATATGTTAATAAAACAAAGCATTGTTTTACATTAATCACATTGATTAGCTATGAGCTAAACAAACAATTAGAATAAAAACTTTGTAAAAATTTAAAAATTTTTTATTCTATAATGTAATTTTTTGATTAAGAAAGTAAATTTTAAAAAGATGAATAAAACAGCACTGTAACAAAACCAACAAAACCATTATTACTGTCCAAAATAGGAATCATTTTCATCTCAAACAACTATAAACATGAAACTATTTAATAATATATAACTAATATCAAAATATATGCAGATTATGATGAACTTTTAAATTAAAAAATGAAGTACTTGAAATCCTTGATAAAATATTTGAACTGAGAAAGAAATAATGGCAATATTTCTGGTTTGCTGGTGTGTGATATTTGACTTATTGAAGAATATAGACCATATATAAATGAAACTAATTTTAATTGACTATGTGGAACATTTTTTCATGCTTACTCTTTTATATATAGTAGATACATGAGTAAACACTTTAATATCAAGCAGATTTCTACAATGTACAGTTTAAAACATAAAACATTTCGAACGCCCGGAAAAGCTTGTTGCACGTGACCAACGGAATTACCAAACGTTATAATTTAGAAATTAAAAAGAAAAATTTTCCATTTTCTACTTGAAACACTCTGTACGTTCTAATTTTCAAATTTGTCCTTTTTCGCCTGAGGACGACGATATAATACTCGTCAAAAGTACTTGCGATTTAAGAAAAATTCGTATTAACGCTGAACTCAGTGCTTTTTATCAAGAAGCTATACAATTTTGGCGTGAGTTTTATTTATTTATTTATTTCTAAAACTAATAAACTAAAACTGTAATGACATCATTACTTTAAAGTTCATTAACAAAAAAGCAATGGCAGAAAGTAATGCTGTTGTGTGTAAACAAAATGAAACAGTGCATAGTCAAGCTGGAGCCATTGTTTTAAATGTATACAGGCTACTTATTTTTAGTGGTCAAAATTCACTTTCACTTTACAACAACAAGAATGTAAAAGCAATGAGTTTATAGATTACTAGAATGACAAATATCAAGAAATTTTAGACATCAAAGTTCTTTGAAAAGACATTATATAGATAATAGAGAATTACTGAAAATTTATCAACTTTCAAGATACAAATTCAAGCATGGAATGCCTAATAACATCAATTTTAGCATGGATTGAACATAGAAAATGAACAGGATAAAACTAAAGGCAACATATGCATGTACAGTGGTGCCTCATATAACATACGCCTTGAATAACAGACGCTGCAAATAACGGACTTTCTGTTTGACCGTTACATGACTCGAGCAATGGAGTTGCTGCAAACAACAGACTTTCCGTTTGGCAGTTACGTGAGATGAACAATGGACTTTCTTCGAACAAGTGCGAATGATGTTTCCACTCTTTTGCCATTGCCAATGACAATCTGCTATTTTTAGGATATATTAGTATTATTAGAATGTATTATTAGTATATCTGAAGTAGAAATGTAATGTAATATATGTTGATGATTTAAATAAACATTAAATGTAATGTAATATATGTTGACGATTCAAATAAACGAAATGTAATTGTGTAGATGCCGAGGTGGCGGGACGAAAAGAGGTTGTAAAAAACAAACGGAGCGAGAGTAGCTCGTAGAAGTGTTTAGTGATCTTAATTAATAAAGAATTATTCGTATCATATAATCTGGCAAGTTAAGTCATTTATAATGCATCATGGCTTCTAAAAAAACAGAAAGGTGATTTCAATTGAAACAAAGCAAGAAATCATCAGGAGTGAAAGTTGACAAAAACTTTCTTGTCGAATGGGGAGAGGTTCAGGAGTTTACCAACACTCATTATCCAAACAGAGCTGAGGCCAACAGGATCAATGATCTCTACGATGACACCTTTGTCCGTCATTTCCGACAGGTGTTAAAGAAGAAAGAGAAACAGACCACCTTGGTCATGTTTTTCAAGAAGCCAGCGGGCAAAAAACAAAGGATGGAACAAGAGAAGTTGACCCTGCAAGTTCCGGTAGCCTCTCCTGAATCTGACTCCGATTAAAAAACAATAAAAAAAGACCCGCTGCAATGTGTAAAAAGTCTGTATCTGTATGAATGTGTAAAGAAAGTGTTCTTCCACCTCCTCCTCACAACATCTGACTACCCGGAATAATTGGTGTCTGCTCCATTTTCATTTTTTATGGTACAGTACGGTTATTTTATGCTGTGGAACGAATTATATGTTTTAACATGTATTTCTATGGGAAAATGCGTTTCGTATAACGGACGTTTCACTTAACAGACGTGCATCTGGAACGGATTAAGTACGTTGTACAAGGCACCACTGTATATGTTGTGCATGTATTGGTAGTTTTGGGTAAAGCTACAATGGCAGATGAGTATGTCAGCAGCACAAAAAGACTTCACATTTTCTAAAGACACTGTTAATGACTTTACACAAAGAAATAGATGTTTAATGAGTTTGTGATTGAAATTTAAAACTGACTTATAACTTGCCTCATTGCAAAATCCCAGATTACCTCTTAGGTATGGATATCTATACATTCCTCCAAATTTTCACAAAGTAATAAAATTTAAACAAACCTGAAGTTATGTCAATACTATTTCTATCTTCTTCAAGTCGACGAATCTTTTCTTCTAATTCACATTTTATTGAATCTTTTAATAATGATTTTTCACTCTAAATAAAAAAATTAATAAAAAATCCTAAAAAAATACTTTAAGATAAATTTTGAATTACATTGATATAACTGAATCTTAAGATAATTTATATTAAATTCAAAACTTCAAATGAGATAAAATATTTATCTACCTCAAAATTTTGCTCAGAAGCAAGTTTTTCTGCTTCATGTTTATTCCTAATATTTGTCATTTTTAATTCTTTAAGTATTCCTGTAATGTATTTATTTAATATGTTAAAATGTTGTCAGAATTATCAATTTTAATATTTTAATATATTGTAGTTAGGTTTAAGTAATCCCAAAATACTCATACCTGCTACCTCTGTACGAATTCTCATATTTTCTTGTAATTCTTCTAAAGGCTGTAGATATTCAGGTGCTTGACCTGTTTTAACTTCACCTAATTTTTTATCAATTTGAGTAGATCTTTCTTTGTATAATCTGTATTAAAAATCAAAATATGTAATTTCAAAATATTTCTTAACAACAATTACAAAAGCTAACAAAACCAATTGAAATTAAATTACATGTTGAAATTATTCTGCATATTTTGAATTCTATACTAATTTTATAAATAAATTGCAGAATATGTCTTTATATTACAAGTGAAGTATTAATCACTGAATAATTTTGATAATTATTAAGAATTATTATTAATAATTATTTAGAATTTAAATATGTGATTTAATACCACATATTTAAATTCTAAATAATTTAAGATGTTAAATATGTGGTTTAATACCACATATTTAACATCTGGTTAAATATGTGGTTTAATACCACATATTTAAATTAATAATATTTACAAGAAATTATGCAGCATTAGTAGTATGTATGGAATATATTTAATATTTCTTGTAAATTTTTCATCCTAACAAATTTTCAGTCTCTCCAACACATCTGTTTACTCTTTTGCTTGATAATGATGACCTGGTAATTGACGACACATCATTAACAATCCACTCAACATGTTTAATGCATCACAACAATAAATATCATGGGAAAGACGTGTATATGTCATTGAGTGCACTTACAATATATAGTAGACCCCCTATAACACGGTAGATACGTTCCACATTATAAGAATTTTGCGTTGTAGGAATCCTTAAATACATGAGCCAATCACAGCCTGACACGTGTGCAGTTTAGGGACTACAGCTATTTGAAAGGTTTTCTTCCATAAAATTAATCGATTCTTGACTAATTCAACTCAACATTTCCAAAACACGTGTAATTTTTTGGGAATAATCTGTATAAACTATGCTATAAACAAAAAATTGTAGGATTACTTATCGAGTGTGCACCGTTCAACGACGCCATTGCTTAAGCTTGTTTCGTCGCGAAGCAGCGCACCAAACAGCAACCGCAATTTCTGATAAGTTATTTTTCTGCGAAAAATTTGTTGAACTTTGGAGACATCATTAATAGAAATAACTTTTATGGCCGTTGAGTAAGAAATGTTTCTTTCACAAGAAATGTATAAAACTACAGTGCTGTATTAGACTTACGGTACCTAATTTACATACTGTACAGACGATAGTTAGTAAACTCAACTTACTCGCCTAAACTCTCTGTAGCATGGCTCTGGACGGTGGAAAATATATATATAATTATAAATAAAGTTAAAATAAATTAAGTTAATACTGTACAGACGATAATAATACTGTACGGACGATAGTAAACTCAACTTACCTGTCTAAACTCTCTGTAGCGTGTAAGTAGTTCGGCTGCTTGTCTACTATTGGTCCAGATTCGACCAATCCTGTCGCGACATGAGTAGGTGATGACGTTTTACCACATTTTACGCGTCCCTTTTAGCGTCTTTATATGAATACTGTCACAATTTTTTCACCGCGTTATAGGAACCCACGTTATAGGGGGGTCTACTGTATATATTTAGTTAAATATATTCAGATGATAAATACTTAAAATGTCATTAAACAATTAAAATTTGACTTACTTGATTATTTTATATAATTGGTGAAAAACAGTAAATTGATTATTAGATCATTAGAATGATTCAATTTATGAAAATGCTCATTAATAATGTATACTAATATTAGAATAATAATTTTAAGATAAAAATAACTTTTCCAAAACGTGATTTTATTTTTTCACAGTCATATTTTAAAAATTAGTCAAACATTAAAAGTATTCTATTCTTATATACAATAACAAATGTGTAAATTATTTCATTTATTTAACTCAAGGAAATAAAATTTGATACACTTACTGTTCTTTTAGTATCATAAACTGCTTTTCTAAATCTGCCATGTCCACAATGCATTCTGTTCTTCGCCTTTCACAGTCCTCTTCGTCCATTTCTTTTAATTTATAAAATAAGTTTAAAAAATATTCTTTTATTATTTAAGAATCATCCACATATTTAATAAAGTCACTTTTTTAAAGTTAATTTCTCTCAACTCTGTTCTAATTTTAAAAAATTAAGTTTTTTAAATAATAAAATAGTCATTCAATGATAATTCTCAAATAAATTAAAGACAAAGTTGTCAAAAATACTTATTTTTTAATTCACTTTCATATTCTGGAATACACAATGATCATTCAAACTCTTTTAGGCTACTTCGTCATCTTAACAATTATTAAAAATAATTTCTTTAAAACATGAAAAACTAGAAGCAAATTCAAGAAGCAGTATGGTTCCTGTATGTTGGATGCAAAATAAAACATATCCATTTTGTCTCTATTTCAATTTTGGAAAATAATTTTAACTTTAACCATATATTTTTATGAAAATCCAGGTGCTTGACCGGTTTAAACATCATCTAATTTTTTTTTTTAATCAATTTGAGTGATCTTTCTTTGATTTTTAATACAAATCATAATTTAATTTCAAAATATTTTCTTAACAACAATGACAAAAGTTCACAAAATTAAAATCAACTAAAATCATTATCGATAAATAAAAATAACTATTGATATCAGCCTAGGATTTGAGGTAGGTGTGTCACTTTCCAAATATTAGCAAAATCCAATGAATAGTCAGTAAAGTCATAAAAAAACCTGGCAAAGGCTCTTGCATAGCTTTCATGGCACTCAAAAGAGAGCATTGGAAATCCAATAATTTTCAATTATAGAAACATCAGGTACTGGACTAGTATAACGACGCATAATGCAGGCCTCACTTAAGTCTCTCACTGCAGTACTGCCAGATATGGATGCACCCATCATGATACTGCAGACAGAAGTGGGATTCATCTGAGAAGACTATCACACAATTCATCCCTTTGTGCACACACTGCAGCTGTAGACACCTGTGGTATACAGTCAAAGGTAGTCATAGTAATGGACACTTTGCAAAAATTCCCTGATGTTGATGGCATCAAACAATCTGTGTGAATACTGGATGTTGTGCAACACGCCCAAATTCTTGAGCAAGGTATTTTGCTAGCTAATTCTTTTAAATTAAGATAAATACAGCAGCATAATGGAATATTTCAGTTTTTGATACTATCAGAACAAGCACTCTTCAAGAAAGTACAACAAAATGTAATTTGTTGTCACACTCTATGTAATGAAGTTGGTGGTCACCATTTCATATATTTATTATAAATACACAGAAAAATATCAGTTTCATTCACTGTACTGTATGTACAGTACAGGACCTGATACTCATTATCCCAAAACATACATAAAAAAAGCTGAAAAGATAAATATAGAGCATGATGACAGCTGCCTACTACATAGGCACATCCAAATTTTCTGCAGGCAATAGAGCTGCTAATTTTTGTTTCTGAGAAATTCTGATCCTAGAGTTGCTTCATAAAAAATTATCTCATTGACCTCTACCAGCCTTTAAATTGTCGAACATTAATATCCTGTATATACAGGATGGGGCAAACCATTTGTTTCACCCACACAGGATATTGATGTTCTTGCTCTCACTATAGTAACACAACTAGGGCATAACCAAAATGACAAAATGAAGGTCAAATCCTTGTGTACTAGTGAGAAGTTTGCAATCATTTCTGATTTACAGCATACTGGCCTTCCTCAAAATCCGTTAAATCCTGTCAACTACCAGTTGAAAGAAAGTCTGAAATCCACACTGTACTGAGATCTCTTAATTCTTAACTTTTTCCTGATCTCATTACTAATTGGCATTTTTGGTGTGTTTGCCTTTCAAATGATGTATTCATTTGTCCATCTTTTCATACCACTTACTTGCTTTTCTGACAGAACAATTCTGCAGTGTCTGAAATTCTTACTTTAAACAAGCTTCTTCAATTCTTTGCTCTGACATGTTCCTTGTTCAGTCAGATTTTTGCAAATCCGTTTTGTTCCTTTCCTGATATAGTCAAACCTCAATTTACAAACTTAATTCATTCCTAAAAGTTGTTCAGAAACAGATTTGTTCTCAAACCAAAACAAATTTTTCCCATAAGAAAAAATGTAAAATGGATTCATCCATTTCCGATCCCAAAAACAAAGCCCTCTTTTTTACCTTTTTAGATGTATTTCATTCATAAAAATACCTACAAATACAATATAATATAATACAGTAGACATCCCTATAAAACAGGTTCATATAATTTGGATTTGTATATAATTGCAAAAAAATTGCAACCATATTCATATAAACACGCTAGAAGAGACTCCTATATAACGGTAAAACGTCACTGCCGACTCGTGTCGCGACAGGATTGGTAGAATCTAGACCAATAACAAATATTGCACAAACTGTTAAGTTTAAATGAGCAGCAGCCCTACTAAAAACCATTTATTATTTAATGTCCATAAAAATTATATTTATATTAATGATGTCTCCAAAGTTCAGGAAATTTTTTGGAAACGTGCGTGCCCCCATTCGATGAAAATGAATGACTCCACGATGAAAACAAGCTTAAGCAATGGTGTCATCAAACGGTGCACACTCGGTAAGTAATCCTAAAATTTTTTGTTTATAGCATAGTTTATATGGATTATTCCCAAAAAATTATATGTGTTTTAAAAATGTTGAGTCAAATTAGTCTAGAATCGATTAATTTTATGGAAGAAAACTTTTCAAGCAGCCACAGTCCGTAAACTGCATACGTGCCAGGCTGTGATTGGCTCATGTATTTAAGGACTTGTACATCAATTTCATAAAGAACGGAACGTATCTACCATGTTATGGGGGTCAACTATATTATATTATATATATCTATATCCATTTTATAGTTTATATATATTAAAAGCAAAATATTCCATCAACACTAACCAAAACCATCATTTTACAAAAAAGTGCTATAAATACTCTCAACTCTGCCTGGATGAAATATAACCAAATCAATCAAGACAGACAAGTACTTTATCCACCATTGAAATATTATGTTTCAATTGCTTTGATTTAAGTTTAAATCTTAATTAATGAATTAATTTTGATTTTATTTAAAATTTTATTTTCAGTTTCAGTGTAAATCATCGGGTTCATTCATTTGTGACAAAATCTGCATCTCTCGTTCCAACTTGATAACAGAGAAATGCAAACAGATATCCAGTCACATTTCTGCAGTTCTTGATCTAGATTACTTAGGACTGCAGATTTGATCTTAATTTCTCTAAACTTCCCTGTAATTATTACTCTTGAAGTAGAGACAGGCTATCCAACAATTCTTAGGCACTGCTGTTGCAAATAATCTATAGATTCATATTCATAACACTTGGAAAGCCAATGTTTCTTAGAAATATCTTTATTTAAAAGATGGCCACCTGGCACCTGTAGCCTTCCTAACTTCTAGTTTTCTGATGGCTCTTCCCTGACCAATTTTTCTGTTACTATTACTATTGGATGTAAACACTACTTTTCGTTGGATTTAAATTGTCTGTCTCATTGGATGTCATCATATTTAGACAACATACTCAACATCTTTTCAAAGAGACAACCTTGGCCTACTCATATATAAAGTACTCTTGTACTTCAGCCAAAACTTGACTCATTTGTTTCAAAATGAATAGACTCAGCAAGGTTTCATACTCTGTTGCTTCTGATCCTCTGGTCCACTTGCTGCAATACATAGTATTAATAATTTCAAAAGTGTAATTTTTCCAAAACTGTTTAGTCTCTTCTTTTGAAAACCAAATTTTTGACGGATTTTTCTGTATTCAATTAAAATTTTTATACAAGATACTTTTTGATGTGTCTATAGTTGTCTGCTTATTCTGCTGGTTTCTAAACAATACACTTCATTACATTCATCAAGTGCAATCCAATCAAATGGTATAAAATATACTGATGTCAATATTCTCTGGATCAAAATTTTGAATCAAGTCTTAATTTAATCAACTCTTAATTAGCCACTTCCACGTCTCTATTATTTGCTTAAATTCATCTTTGAGTGAATTTCTCTAGCTCAATCTCTCTTTCAAACTATTTTTAATTTTTCTAATTTGAGCGCTCTCTCTTTTCCTTTCAAGTTCTCACTCTTTCTCTACTCTATCCATAATTATATAATCCAACTGATATTTAACTGCATCATTATTACAATTTTTACTCTTGACATACAAAATGTCTCCAGGGATTCACTTTCTTTGACTGGAATTGATTTTTTGAATCCTCCTTGACCTGGTTGGTAATCATCTTTGTATCCCATTCACTGTCACTAAATATATAAAAGCTGTAATGTCTCAATGCAAAACAATTGCATTTTATCTCTGATGACTTACCTTGTGAGTTTATGTTAAACACAAAAACAACAAAAAATTATAGTAAAACAATAAAAAAAAACTCTTCAGACTGCACATTTCAAACAAAACAGTCAATATCCATAACTTCATCAGACAGTTCAAACAACAAAGAACTTTGCTCCCTTCTTAAGAAAAAAAATGTCTTTTTTTAGAATTTACTTAAAATCCAAAAATAATTTTGGTAAGAAAGGCATTCCCTAAACTCAGTTAGTGGGAAAAAGTGATTTAAAAAATAACAATTATACTTTTTTTGAAATGTTTTTGTTCAAATAAAAATCACTTATTAAAAATTTTTAATGTATTTTCAAAACATCGTGTAAATTCACCTGTAGGACAAATATAACATATAATGATACATTATATAAGCACACATTGTTTAACAGAAACTAAATATGCTTATTAATCTCTGAGATAAACTTCCATACAGATAATTTGAATGGAAAGCTCAAACAATAATAATGTTGATTTATGTTTGATATTAATCCTATTAGAATGTAAATTTTATTAAACTGTTTGTTTTTGAAATAGATGAGAAATGACCTCTTAACTGTAAAATAGTTGTTTTACTAGACAAATTTAAAAATTCCATCAAAGCCAAACGATTTATGTTTGATATTAATCCTATTAGAATGTAAATTTTATTAAAACTGTTTGTTTTTTGAAATAGATGAGAAATGACCTCTTAACTGTAAAATAGTTGTTTTACTAGACAAATTTAAAAATTCCATCAAAGCCAAACGATTACAGGATTAAATTTGGCTAAATTTGACTAATAATAATTATTATTAGTAGTGGGAATTATTATTAAATACTGAGTATTTAATAATTACTAATAGAGGAAATGTAGCCTGATTTAATCTGGTAATTGTTTGGCTTTGATATAATCATCTAGATTTAAAATGTTTATATAATTCCATTAATCATTATATCATACTCTAAAATTCACTACTCCCAAATAATACTGTTTTCACAATGCCCTGTTAAGCTCAAAATAATAGCAAAATTTTTATTAATAGAACTCTTTCATATAATTCATAATATATTAAAAAACTTATGTTGGTTTATTATTATATTACATAGGTGAATGACTCATAAAATTTGATGATGATTTTTAATAAAAATATTAATATGTACTAATTGTTTTAAAATACTTTAAAATAAGCTTATTTTAAAACTTTAATATAAATAAGCAATAACATACCAGAACTATCATCATCTTCAGTTCCTGATCCAGATATTGAATCAGATTCTTCATTACTAGTTTTTTCACTCTCTGGTGAATCTTGATCCAATTCTTCTCCATCACTTTCATTAATCTCTTCTTTGATGCCTGGCATTGTGATAACAGAAGATATCTCCTAAAACATATTTAAATATATTTGTTGTGCAATATATATTCAATGTACAATAAAATAATCATTAATTAAATTATGTAAAAATATAAACTAATATTTTTATGTTATTTTCAATTTTTCAATAATCCTTAAGGGATGTTTTTAAAACTCTACAGTAGGGAAAGTGAGGCTTGTTACTAGAGAAACTTGTTAAAGATTAGTTTAAAGTCTCAGAAAGAAATGTAATATTAGCATTCCCTTTCATTAGTCCCATGGTTCAGGATTTTCTGTTCATTGATCTGAAGAGAGCTGTTAAGCTGTGACATCATTTTTTCTATTTTCATGCTTCAAAATTACTTTACATTATTTTTCATTTCATCTGTGTATCTCATGCATTTCACAAGATTAGTAGTTTTTCATTACTTTACTAGTTGTGTTAGTAATACAGTAGTTATGTTCTAACAATATAAAATTATTAATTAGTTCCTGAAAAAAACATGCTTTTAGAAAATATAATCTTATAGGACAAGTTGTTACAACATGTTGGGGACACATTGTTACAGTGTAATAACATGCCCCACCTATATTTTCAATGCAATATTACATGATTGTTTTTCTTTTTAGAAAATGGTATGGAATTACAAGCATAAAACTGATAGATAGAGGAGAGAAGAGAGAGACATCATCAGACAGATTAAAGCAATCTGCTGAAAAATGTAACAACAAATAGCAATTTCCTGAGACAGGTCACAGAGACATACAATGTAAACATGACATTATCCAGATATGTGAAAAAAATTAAAATGAGGGAGCAAAATTTAATAACCAAAACAAGCTATGCCGAACCAAAAAATTCCAGTGATCAGTTAAAAACTGGCTGAATTTATTAAGCATTCAGCAAGGAAATTTTTTAGACTTACAACAATCAATGCCAAATCATTAGCATATGAATATTAAAAAACACTATAAAATTGCAGCAAAATTTAATTAGAATGAAAATAAAAAACTCCTTAAGATTGGCTCTTAGGATCTTAAACAAAACAATCACTGCCTTAGTAAACCAAAACCCACTAGCCTTAGCTGCATGACAAGCTTCAATAAACAAAAATTTTCAATAATCTTAGTGAGGTTCCTGACAAGAATTACTTTAACTACCATGAAGTTTAGAACAGGGATGTGATTAGTAGTATGACTATTGAAATGTGCAAAGTATATGCAAAATACTCTGACCAAAAACATTTATGCACCAAAAAGAAGGCATTAGAACTGAATGAAACTATTAATGTGAATGTAATGATGATGATAAGTGAACACAGTATCATAGCAAAGGGACAATTTCCTATGCAACTATGGTACAATTTAAAAGAACTTTTAGTACAATTTTTCAATCTTTTTTAATAGCAGAACTCCCAACTTTATAAACTTTTCTTCTGGCACTCATACTTCTTTATCAATGTAGAGTTGCTGTGCTTTTAGTATTTTTAGTAATACACATAAGTGTTATATTTATGAGCACTGGAGCCAATCAGTAGCTGAGTGGATAAAATCATTGAACACTGGTAGTCAATCATAGGTTCAAGTCTCAAACAGACTGGACATATGAAATTTTCTGGGTTTTCTTCATATGTCTAACACCTGAATGGAGGCTAGTTTTCCATTGAAAATCTTTTCAGGTGGCAGTCCTCCTTGGCAGATTGCTTAAGTATTGTATAGCCTTCTTCCATTAATTATTTTGTTCCTTTAAGTGTCATTGCAACACCCTGATTGAAAACCACATCACCTCGCGTTTTTAGTTATGTTCCTACTAACCAATACCGTAAAACTAACCTTAAATTATATTTTTTTGTGTAATCTTAACAGCACTGAAGAGGGGTTGGGAATTTAAGCCAACCCGAAATGCATATGAATTAGGAATTTTTTAAATAAAACGTACGTTTCCTAACCAATTGCTGTCCGTTCGTCTACCAACTCGTTTTGGATTACACAGACGCTACACACTGCATTTGATGATACAGCAACCATGTCCTCTACACCACTGCTTTAGTATGTTGTAAGACCTCCGTATTTGAATATATATGAAAATATGACAAGGTATGAGGAATGCAGGCATCACATGCTATCCTTCAACAGACATTGCAATTTCAACTTCAGATCCTTTACATTAATACATGGCTGAAGATGGTGTCCCTAATTCTGAAATGCTTGATGCACAAAAAATCTGGAGACCATGCAGGCTAAGAAAGTGCGACAATGTGACAAACATTCTGTACTTTTGCTATCACATGGATCAGAGCGCATCAGGGAACGTTAGGCAACGAAAAGGTTGATCTCTTGGCAAAATCTGCAGCTAATGACATCACTGCTCCTATTGCTTATAATAAATATAGTCAACGTACTTTGCGCCGTATACTTTGGGAACATGCTCTTCATTTATGGCAAATTGAATGGGATCGCAATGATCATCATATCACTCATGAATACATTCCTGACCTACGTAAATTTTTCATGATACAGTGGTATTCACCCACCTACTACACCACGCAGCTGTTCACCAATCATGGCAAATACGCTTCATACCTTGTTAGGTTCACTGAAAGAAACTCTGACCAATGTCCTACTTGTCTTGTGACAGATGGTTCCAAACATTATTTTTATGATTGCATACTATTTGATCGTGAACGACTAGAGCTAAAATTACTACTAAATCAACAAGGAATTAACTGGCCCTGCCAATTATCAGACATATGGACATCTCTTGAAGTTTATAATGCCTTCACCAGACTTGCTAAAAGTATCTCTAAAATAACACATCAAATAATATAACGCTAAAACTACATGCACAATCTCATTAACTTGTCTATGATGTGGCTGAACGATAATATTTCAATTGAATGATCGTGCTTCTGGACATGTACCACATTTTCTGTGAAAATTTGTGTTTTTCAAATTGATTCACCTTGTGCATTAGCCAACTATATACTTTATATCTTTAGAGAATAACATTTCCAACTCACAGGGAGTGTGATTTGGAAATGAGGAGCAATCACTAGTGCCAATCTTCATCCAGTCATATTTTGATCATTATTAACTGGTGTCTGTGAACCATCTCTCGGCAGTGTTGTCCTGATGGAAGTGCTCTGCTTTCCTATGCGTCAACCACCCGTCGCGTTCATTGTCCTAATCGCAGTGCCTTGGATGTACTGTACTAATGGAACTACAGTGAAATTGCGCTCAAGAATAAGGCTACGTGCTATAGGTAAGTATTGTGCCTCATCGAATAATATCTACAGAGTTTGCACTACTCTCAAAGTTTGCATCCTGAAAGCAATACTACTGTATGTGATATACAACTGATCATCATGGTCTGATTATGTGTGAACCAAAACAATGTCCCTCAACAATCTTATCTATTTATTTTTATTTTATTTCATTTTTTTTATTTTCGTTTGTTTTATTTTTTTTTGTTTTGTTTTATTTACCATCACTACAACTTAATGTTATTTAATTTTCTTTATGAATATATATTGTAACGTATTTGTATTGTTTATCTCCTGGTAATGCTCCATGCGGGGCCAGGAATGTACTTGACAGTACATAGTAAATAAAAATGAATGAATGAATGAATGAATGAAACATTCCTGAGATACCCTAGCTATGGTGGTTGAGCATTATCTTGTTGGAAAATGGGCTGAAAATAACCATTTTCCAGCAAAGATAATTGGAATTTTAAGATACTCTTTAAGGTAATTACCTGGTATGCAATCTGACTACAACTGTAATCATTTACATACAAAAAAAATCATACTCCTAGAACATAATTCTGGTGTGATAAAAAAAAAAAAAAAAAAAAGTTCACCATAAACATTTTCAAACTGCTATGAGCTCTTCCTCAGGTGAAAAAGGGAGTTTTTGATGGGACGGAGCAAACATTAACAGTATATGAGATTTATTATTATTTTTTTTCCTCATATACCGTTAACTGATTGCTCCATCCCATCAGAAATTCTCTTTTTCACCTGAGGAAGAACTCACAGCAGTTCGAAAACGTTTGTGGTAAACTTTTTCTTTTGTTTTTTTTTCATCACACCAGAAATAGGTTCTAGGAGTATGAATTTTTAACACATCTTGGTGTTAATGTTGTTGTTGATTTCATTTACATACATGTCTGAGACATTGCTATATGCAGAGTTTTTCACTAATCAGACAATTCTATCTAGGTGCATAACTTTTTTGTTAATGAGTGTAATTGCAAAGGATGTAAAACAAGTAGCTTCCACTACTACTGCTGAACAGGATAATCTCATCACAGTAGTTTATCCTATAAATGCCACCGGTAACAGCATTCCATCTCTTTTCATATTTCCAAGGAAATGTTTTAAAAGATATTTTAAAGTAGATGGGTGTCCAGCTGTATAGGAACAACCATTCCTAGAAGATGGGTCACTAGAGAAGAAATCTTACTTTTCATGAAACACTATAATCAATACTAGGTGCAATGTAGTCCTTTCAGCTATACCTTCCCACTTATCACAAACTCTAGTCACTAGACAAATCAGTATATGGGACATTGAAAACTTATAATTGTTTTTAATGAATGAATGAATGAAAAGCAACCTGGAAATGATAATGGTCATTTATAAAATTCCGATATTGTTGAATGTCCTTACTAAATGCTTCAAATTCAAGATCATTACTGGTTTTCATTCAAGTGATATATGACCGTGACCATTCAAAGATATATTCAGTAAAGAAGACTTCATGCCATTGGACAATTCAATGGTTATCACATTTTAAAGAGAATGCTGAAAACTATAGCATCTAATAAAATTTATAATGAAACAGAAATTATTGTTAACAATAATGGTAAACTAATGTCTTCCAAGATCTTTACAGTCTGAAACAATCAGAAAACTAACAAGTGTGTCATATAGAGTAAAGAAGAGATTCATCCCTATCTGATGGGGCAAGAGTACAAACAAAAAACTGATCACAGGAAAAAATCTTGTGTTTAACCAATACTCCATGAAAAATGCTAGAGGAAAAATGAACTAAAACTTCAAAAATTAAAAACTAACAAATAAGAGAAAATTATTCAACAGAGATCTTAGAAAGCAAAAATTTCAACAAAAAGACAGCAGAGAAATTTTCAGAAAGAAAAACAAGAATTAGACATAAGTGGCAAATATAACTCTTTGTTTGAATTATCCGAAACTAGTCTCCATCAAAAGGCAACAAAATATGGATACAATGCATCAGTTGTACATGATGGGCTCATTCTTCTTGTGTCAGTAGCCACAATAGTTTCATTGTTTTATCTGTGCATTTTTGTATGTTATATCTGTGCAAATTTGAGCAGTGGTAGTGATGAATGAATTTTTATTTCAAAATTTATTCCCCCACTTTTCAATTTTTTGTCATGTTGCACAAACTATTAAACTATTTTGTAATTAATCACTTGAAAAATTATGTTAAAGCTTTTTGTCACAATTTGTTCTAAAAAGTGTTTGTTCTGAATTAAGTTACCATTTATTTGTTTTTTTTTAAATTCAAAACACATTAACTACTACTCTAAATACTTGTTTTTCTAATGTTAGAAGTAAACAGAACAAGTAAAACAGCAAAACCGTATTAGTACAAGACTATGTCTCAGAGACTCACTACTAAGTGATGCATTTTCAATGAAATTAACCTATACAATTTCAAAATTTCTGTCCGTTGCGTGTCAGCCTGGGTTGAATTTTTGTTGATGCGTAACAAAAATTTCTTTTTTGAAAAAAATAATCATGGCTATTGTATCATCTGAAATTATTTTTTTATTTTGCACAAACAATATACAGTTTAACCCAATTATAACATCATTGGATGTAACGACAACCCTAATATAATGTCAAATTTTTATTGGTCCCACGATTTTACTATACTAGATAATGTTTAAAAACATACTTGTAACAACATAAAACCCTGTTTTAATGTCATATCTGAAGCAATCCCAAATTTACAAAATTAGATTACAAATTTTATTTAAAAAAGAAAATACTACATGTTCAGTCCTAGGGTCAGAGTCCACTTCCTAGAATGACTGTGGGTAGTACTCTCACCACCTGACATCGGTTTGCCTGTTTGTAGAGAGAGTTGCCATTTTGTATTTTATTTTGACTCGGTTCTCAGTCCTCTGAGTACCTGCAAGTCTGGTTTTTTTTTATGCATGCATGATTTGGGTACCTAATACTCTGTGCCAAATTGCAACTCCTGACATGTACTCCTTCATACTTCTAAGATGGTAACACTGCAGGCAGTACAATTTTATAAAAAAGACATAGTCTTGTCAATTAACGTATTAATTAGCAAAATCTGTATTAAAAATATTTTTCTTCATAAAACATTTTTATCTTCATTTTGAAACCCTGTAACAATGTATCCCATATTGTAACAATATGCACCACTAGGAAGCATGTTAAAATGTTAATGTCTTATGAAATATATTTTTTATAATACCTATATTGAATTGTTTGTCACAAAAAAATTAATAATATATATATATAATACACACCTGAAAATGTCAAATGGTAAAATGAAAAAAGTTACTGATTAATATTTTAATAATATATTAAATTTATTAACAATAATAATGAATAATTACTAATAACTACCTTCAGTACACTCACTTGCAATAAGTAAATATCCTACATGTTAAAAATTTTTTCCCACGTATCTGATCACTAGGAAATTACCAGATCTCCTCAATTTCAAAATGCATCCTGAGTTTGAAAATCAAATTTTAAGATTATTTTTATGAAGGAAAAAATTTTTAAATAATCAATTTTATTAAGATTTATCAAACAGCAGCTGGAAAAAAAACAATTCAAATACTATGAAATAGTAATATTATCATCTGTGTGTTTTATTTCCATTCTCTTGTGAAATATAACAACTTTGTTTTAATGCTGCATCATAATGTCATCTTGAAGTCATTTTAAACATTAAAAAAATGTTTAATTTAATTAAGCAATTTTTCCAGCAAAGTTTATTTGAACATATGAATGTTTTGGACAGTAGACAATTGTTGTTTTGGCTAGTAAACATAAGACATCTTTACTTTGGACAACTAAAAATGAGTAAAAAGCATGTATTGCAATTGAGGAAATACAGAATATGTCATATTAATCATTTTACTAAGTACGCTAAAGACATCTGATGTTAAAGGGAAAGAAACATCACCACAGCCTTTAGAAGTGGTAGAAAAAAGTGGATTTTCCCTCATTTTGAAAATAATATATAATATAACCCGTAAAAGTCAAAACTCTAAGACAAACTGGTAAAAGCTGAAAAAAGTTATAGTTATTTCAGTATTTCTGCCAAATTTTCTCACATCATAGTGTCCAACACAGAATTTAAAATATAAACAAGAATGTATGTGTTATACCTCTGTACTAATTCACATTTGTTACATCCTATCAAAGACAAAACTGCAAACAAGAATTAAAATTAAAACACCTGACAAAACATTAAGAATTAAATTAATATATCAATATTTATTTTACTTATTGAGTTTTATACAGGAGGATCTGAGGTTGGAACACCAAATTCCAAAAATGTTTTCCAGATTAAAAGTATTTCCATCCTGGTTTCTATAAAGTATGATGTGTTTTGGGACTTTTTTTATTTTTGTATCAGATTTAAAAGAGAATGGAACTCATTGAAATCTCTAATGAATTAATTATAAACTCAAGATTTTCTTCAAAAACATTTTTCTCGTTAATTAAGTTTATAATATTTATCCTATTTTTTGAAAGTATCCTGAAAATGTTTAGCATTTAAATAACCTTTACTTTTAGTCTTACATTAAATTTAAAAACTGAGCACAAGTGGTCAAACCCTGTATTTTTTTAACAGTCAAAATACTGTGCTAGTTCTTTATATTTCACTGTTATACTTGTTTTGTTTCCATCGATACTTAATCAAAACCATACTAATCTTTCATTCTATTAGAGATATAATATTTAATACATAAAGTACGGCACTGTTAACTCAATTCTGACATTTGAAAAGATTAATCCACTTTTGCCTTTTTCCTTTCAATTTATCTTAATTACTGTAATAATGATTAAAAATTTTCATTCTCTAATATTGACCTGATTAATTTCATTTATTAAAAACATTAATTTCCTTCAAAATTAATTTAAAAATACTTCCAAATCATAAAAACTTTTCATTCGAAAAACATAATTGTAAGACCTATATTTTTTCCTCTTCTTAACTATATAAAAAGAGAATACCAATGAATTTTATCATCAAACAAGAGATATATTTTAATAAATATATAATACCTTTAAAATGATAACACAGAGGGGTTATATCTATGGTTTACAATTAATTAATTTCACAGTAGATGTATATATTAATGTATAATAAATATATCAGCTTTGTTACATATTAGTTTAATAGTTAATCAATTAATTAACAGTAGAAAAAGTTTAATTTTGGTATTTAACGTTGTAAACTTGATTCTCAATGTAAAAATCTATAAATATAATATTAAAATAGAAAAATCATATTAGAAATATATCAATTATTATAGTAAAGATGAATGATTGTAAAATCGTTAAAGGTGGAATAGTAATTAAATGTTATATATGATACAGTTTGGGGTTCATACGATCAGACTAAAAATTCCCACTAGTATTATTTACTAGCTAAACGAAATAGTTTTAAAACATATTTACCATTTTTACAACGACTTACTTATTAATAAATTACCAAATTATCATTTCGGAAAACATTGCAAACGTCAAAATAAAACGAAGACAGAAACCGCAGACAGAAGGACAAACTAAATCGCTTCAATGATTTGATTATTCTTCAGCGCCCTCCTCCAAGACACTTTCAATCTAAATACAGTATTGCCAGCTTGACATTTTTTATTTTATTTTTTTANCCCCCACACACTACCAGGAATTACTCAAGATCAGGCATGCATGGTGTATCCTTTGAGAAAAAAATATCTAAAAAAGATGCACATTAGAATCGAGAAAATAAATACTAACACTCATTTTATTAGATGGCACACAATAAAAATAATTTGTAAGTGTTTTTATTACGTTTATCTGAATAAATTTGTTTGTAACAAAGTTTTACATTCAACAAAATATTTTGCCAAATCTGAGAAAAAAATTTGTCGAAAGAAACTTTCCTTTAGAAAATTTAATTAAAATACTTGAAATATTACATCTATGACGTAGACTCGTGACGTAACGCGTGACGCATTGCAACGACAAATTCGAATTCGTTCCATTTTGTATTGTTGCCGACGCCATCTTGGAAATTTATGCTTTCCGGAAATTGCGAGTTCTTTTTCCCTCCATTTTNTAATATTAAAATAGAAAAATCATATTAGAAATATATCAATTATTATAGTAAAGATGAATGATTGTAAAATCGTTAAAGGTGGAATAGTAATTAAATGTTATATATGATACAGTTTGGGGTTCATACGATCAGACTAAAAATTCCCACTAGTATTATTTACTAGCTAAACGAAATAGTTTTAAAACATATTTACCATTTTTACAACGACTTACTTATTAATAAATTACCAAATTATCATTTCGGAAAACATTGCAAACGTCAAAATAAAACGAAGACAGAAACCGCAGACAGAAGGACAAACTAAATCGCTTCAATGATTTGATTATTCTTCAGCGCCCTCCTCCAAGACACTTTCAATCTAAATACAGTATTGCCAGCTTGACATTTTTTATTTTATTTTTTTAATGTTTGTTTAGATTGGATATCATTTACGTTGGGCTAAATATATTTTAAAAATAAAAATATTTTTTTTATAAATAATATAAAACATTCAATATAATTTTTATCACAAAGTTAATAAAACAATTTTATTTCGTACTAAGTAGCATTGGAAAGGCCACGGATAAAACAACCGAATACTGGTAGTTGGTGGCGGGTTGGCCACGTAGAGTTTTCTTCATGTTAAAGAGGTGGAGAAAACAGGAAAACTCCACGTGTTCAGCTCGTCCTGGAGTGGCGCGAACCCACGACCGAACTACCAGTGTTCGGGAAACGAACCACATGGCCACCGGTGTGCCTCGATTATGACGAACTGAGTAACAATTTCATAGCTCATAAAGTACAAAAAGAGAAGATATAATAATAAATTTTATTTAGTCATCCTTGTAATCTGTCTTGTAATTTTTCTTTAAATTTTTTGTTGTAATTGAGGTTTTCTTTTTTGAATTTGTTAGGTTTTGTTAAAAATTGTTTTTTTTTTAATTTATAAAAAGCTGTTTTTTCTTTGTTATATTAAATAACTGTACTTTAATGGTACATAGCATTCTATTTCCTGTTTAATTACTTTTTTATTTAATGCAATAAAAGTATATACTAATTGAATTAAGTGAATTTATGAATTTTTCTTATGGAATATACAGTCCCTGGCCAAATTATTAGACGCACTATAGTTTTTGTGCAAATCTTAATTATCAGCTAGTACAATTTGGTCTTTGAATATTTATTACTAATGAATTTAACCTGTAATGTACAGTTTACTTTATTACATAGGTGTTAACACAAATAAAACGTTATATTTATTGAAAATTTTTGTTTTTATTAACATTGTAAAAAAATACAAAATCGCCATCTAGATTTTAGTATTTTGTTGAGCCACCTTTTGCAGCTATGAGAGCCTCAATCCGGCGCCGCATGCTGTCGATGCAAGACTGGACCGTCTTCTGCATTTGTGGATGGTGATTCCACATATGGATAATTTTTTTCCAAAAGCTGCGTTTTGGTTGTGATGACCTCTTTGTCCACTTTCCTCTTCATGAGCTCCCACACATTTTCTATGGGGTTTATGTCGGGACTATTACCCGGCCAATCCAACAGAGGGATATTTTGCTCTTGTAGACATGTTTTCACAGATCTGGCTGTGTGGCAGGGAGCTCCATCTTGCGTAAAAACCTGTGGCAGCAACCGATTTTACAAGACTTCCTTATATTGGTCTTGCCTCATGGTGCCTTTTACTAAGAACAGGCGCCCAGTGCCCTTGCCACTAATGATGGACCAAATCACTACTTTCGTGCGGTGATTAACAGTCTGAATGACGCAGTCAGAATGAAATTTTTTGCCTCTACGACGACGGACAAAATGAGCTTTGTTGGCTAAAATTTCAAATGTGCTTTCATATCTAATTCGGACCTAAGAAAACAAGAAAAAAATATCTTATGAATCATGTACCTACTGTTAATTTGTCTATTTTATAGTAAATAATATGTATAATGTTAAATTACGGATCTTCAGAAGTCTACGTTCTTATCACGCCACTGTTTGGTCCACTCCAAATGTTTTGCTTTCATTGCAACTGTTAACTTGGGTTTTCTTGCTAGTCGGTAAGCCATAAAATCCAGATCTTTCAATTTTCTGCGAACATGCGCTCAGAAGCATTCACGTTTGCATCTTCCAATTGAGATTTTATTGATTTAGTGGGAACAAATCTGTTTTCTAAGCAAATTTTCTTAATTAAGATAGACATCTTAAGAAAATTTGACCTTGAGGTGAAAATTGGCTTTCTGCCGCATTTATTTTTTCTTTTTGGATTCAGATTTTGATCTGATTCAACTTGTTTTTTTTTATAAGTAGTATGTTAGCTTCAGACACCTTCAACCTTCGTGAAATTTCACGGTTGGAATACATTTTTGTATTAATGAGGGCTTTTTTACGTGATGAAAGGTCCCCCTTTTTGCTCATGTTTGAAGATAACAATTGATCATATCTGGTTGGTAAAAATACTACTATCGAAGAAAACAAACACTTGCATAATTGTATACCACGAAATAAATACAAGAGGTGTACAGAAACACGTCGACACCAGTAGCAATTGAGAACGCGACTGAAACACATTCGTAGTTGTACACTACACTTTAGTGTCTAAGCTCTGATACCTTCCAATAAATTAATATTGTAATGAAATATAACAAAAATAGATATACAATGACATTAAAAATAAGTTTCGTTTATCATAATTATGATTTATAAGATAGGTCTACACCAGATCGGGTATAAAACATGTAATTATGAAAAATCTGTAGTACGTCTAATAATTTGGCTAGGGACTGTACAGTATATAACTGTTCATAAATACCGTATATTTAATTTTGTTTTGTTTTTAATGAAATTTTGTCTAAAATTGTTCTTTAGTTTATTTATTTATTTTTTCATGGGTAGTCTTGAATCAAAGAGAAAACCGGTGATTCCTCGAAAAAGAAAAATGTCTGAAGTCAACACTATACATGGAACCCCCTAATTAAAATTTGTCTGGGCCCCGTAAAGCTGTAACGCGCCGCTGACTTTCAAGACTGAAACATATGAAGATCATCTTCTCAGAAAAATAGGGCAACAGCGTTTGAACTGGTTTCAGTCGTGTGTAAAAAATAACATCCTGAAGACCATTGACTTACATTCAATTATAATTTTATGCAAAGAAATTTTGCAAATGTTTGTGTTCAATACTGTGTTAGTAATAAATAACTCAATGCATTTCATACTATGAATATAATTGAATATGAATATGAAATTAATAGAGAAGAAGGTGGTATTATGGAACCCCAATTACATTTTAGTGAATTGTAAACAAGGTATCATAACTACACCCACATTTTTTGAGCGAAAAGTACTGGTAACTAGTAAACTAAATGTTCCTAATTGGATTTTTCGCTAGTGTAACTATAAGTATGGTTTTTGAAGGCTTTT